GATTAAAGATTCCATTTGGTGAGGTCATAAAGAGTTGTCGGAGATGGGCTTGTAGATGCAATCCAAATATAATTTCTTGACTTTAACTGGGAGAAATGTCAGAATAAATCTTGGGTTGATTTAAAACTAAACCAGAGAAGTGTTTTTGTCTTTAGCCGAAAGAAGTATCAGAACTTAATCTGAGCCGGAGAGAGATCCACTAAAAGAGGTATCAGAACTTAATTTGAGCCAGTAGATGCCTATGTCTGAAAGCAGTATCAGAAATTAATCTGAGCCAGAAGAGGTCTTTATATCTTCAACTGAACGAAGTATCAGAACTTAATCTGAGCTGGAGAAAGGTCTACTGAAGGAGGTATCAGAACTTAATCTAAGCCAGCAGATAAACTTGATGTCTTTAACCGAATGAGGTATCAGAACTTAATACGAGTCAGATAAAGGTCTGCTGAAGGTGGTATCCTAACTTAATCTGAGCCAACAGATAATTTGTGTTTTTAACCGAACGAAGTATCAAAACTTAATCTGAGCCGGAGAGAGAGAGAGAGAGAGAGAGAGAGAGAGATCTACTAAAAGAAGTATCAGAACTTGCTTTGAGCCAGCAGATAATCTTGATGTATTTAACCGAATGAAGTATCAGAATTTAATCTGAGCCGGAGAAAGGTCTACTGAAGGAGGTATCAGAACTTAATCTGAGCCAACAGATAATTTGTGTTTTTAACCGAGCGAAGTATCAGAACTTAATATGAGCCGGAGAGAGAGAGAGAGAGATCTACTGAAAGAAGTATCAGAACTTAATCTGAGCCAACAAGTAATCTTGATGTCTTTAACCGAACAAAGTATCAGAATTTAATCTGAGTCGGAGAAAGGTCTACTTAAGGAGGTATCAGAACTTAATCTGAGCCAACAGATAATTTGTGTTTGTCTTTTGGTTGATCTTTCCTGAAATAGGTAAATAATTAGTTGCATCCAGATGCATGCATTGCGTAATGATGTTATCAAAATAAATGAGATTGTGCTACATGTTTAGTATGCATATGTCATGATGCATGAATGTTGTCAAAAATGCATCTTTGTCTGGAAAATAAATCCCTGACTACTGTTGGGGAGTTATGGGAAGCTAAATTCTAGACTACTACTGGAGATGAAGAGTATGTGTATCTTCAACCTTATCTAGAGTGCTTCTTCTTGAAATTCTCGTTTGTTGTTTGAGGAAACTCTATAGAGAGTGTTGATTTCTGCTTGGGGAATAGAGTTTAGGAACCTTGGTTGTCCATTGCTCTACTGGGGAATTTAATTCGCATATACCCTGACTAGGGATAAAAGAGATGACTAAACTTCTGATTTGACTGGGGAGGATAAAGTTAACTGGTATCTGGTCATATTCCAGGCTTTGCAGTAACTTTCTTGGGATAATATCAACCTTATTGGAGAAGAGGAATTTTGCTAGTGAATGGTCTGAGGAATAGACTCAAACTGGGGAGGTTGTAGTCTGTTGGGGAAATAAACCCTATTGAGGAAGGCATTCTGGTGACCTTACTGGGGAAGAATTTTTCAAGGTTTTCTTTTTCAGTTTTGGAAGACTCGGCTGAGGAAGAGAGTTTCCATGGAATATGTCGATTAGAACTCTGGATGGAGAATGTATGAATTCACTCTGTGGGGATAATCTTATTGAAGTAACTCTGTTGGGATATCCCAAATCCTTAAGTAAATGCTTATTTCTTGTGCGTACATTTGTTAACAGTTAATCATGTTCATTCAATTTTAGTCATTGGACGTTTTTGCACTCAAAACAGAAAAAACAAAAAGTTTGTACTTCAAAGTATATTTGTATTGATAATTTTCCTAAAAACATGCGTTTTTGTACATGGAGACAGAAATTCTAGTAAGAGGAAGTCGTCGAAAAAATGAACAGAATACAAAGTGAAAACAAAAATTGTATATCCATATGGAAGTGATCTCATTGGGTTCCGACTCCACTGTTGCCCCTATGTCTTCGAACATCATCCCTTGCCGTTGGAAGAAGTTGATTGAATTGACCTTGTACCCTTTTGAACTTTCGACCTTGGTAATAAAGCTGGTTGTAGTGATTCAACGGGACATAGTCGTGTGCTTTAATCCTTAACTTTTTCCTGGACCGCCTGAAACAACCGGCTGAAAATCATCAAAACAATGAAGTCGCCATCGAACGTCTTTTATCCCACATGTAAGGAAAGGTAAACATCGAGAAAACCTGAAAAGGGAGAAGTCACGGTCTTGTGACCGAGAGATCGGGTAAGGGAGTCTGTTACGCGAGGGGAAGGTATTAGCACCCCACGCGCCCGTAGTACTCTACGGTATCCACTCTTGTTATCTATCTTATGGGTGTGTTTAATCTATGCTTACTATCTACTATACTACTGGAGGGAAAATGCATGCAAAAGAAAGGAGAAAAGAATGTAGGGAAAATAAAATTGTGCTCGCCTGGGCCCTACCCCAATGCCTACGTATCCTTTTTGAGGAATCAGAGCTACCGTAGTTCGGCTCATATGTTTTTGTTTGTTTATGTTTTTTATGGAAAATGTTAATTCCGCCTTCTGCCGCAACTCGACCTTTGGAGACTTATGCATTGGCACAGAAGTAAATTAATCATGTCCTTACCTGAAAAGGGTTTTAGAGAAAAGGTTCTCGAGCGCACAAAATGGTTTGAATTTTTTTTGTATTTTAGTTACCTTGAAAAAGGGTTTAACTATGATTAGCATGGTTTTATGATTTGCTAAGAAAATGAGTTATGTTTTAGATGCACATGCAAAAGGGAAGAAAAGAGTCTAAGGGAGACTAGCCTATTTCTAAACCTAATGTTAGCATGTATGGTTTACAACCTAAGGTATAACTTGCGTCCGAACGGAGCAAGCGCATCCTAAGGGAACATGGTATGTACAAGGATGAAGCAAGCAAGCCAGCAAACAGAGCACACCTAAAGAGATCCTGCCTAGGTTAACATGTCGAAGAAAAGTCTAAAAGAAATATCCTATAGGGAGCATGCATTGAGAGCGAAGTCGTGATCTCAATTGCTAAATTGAGTGACTCATCGATCAACAAGAAAGAATGGAAAGCGATAAAATCCTATAGGGAGCATGCACTGAGAGTGAAGTCGTGATCTTAATTGCTAAATTGAGTGACTCATCGATCAACAAGAACGTAAAAAAACACAAGCACAACACATATAGCAAATGAAGTGCGGAATGCCTGCTACATGTCTTTAAACAGCGACTTCGAGCGCACGCTCTTTATTCCCTACTTCACATGATATCTAGAAAGTGGTAAAGTGCAGGAATAAAATAGAGTTGTGACGATACCGAACGGAGAGGGTCCGTTGCCTCTTCAAAGCCGCACAAGCAATAAAAAAACTCTATAGAAGCTGCTCCGTACGAGTGATCAAAGAATTAGTCTCCAAGCATTCCATATTACTAAAGTTACTTCAATATAGTATCACAAAATCTTATCTAAAAAATGATAATGAAAATAATTGTTAAACATAAAATAATAGAAAGTTCTAATAGAATTCTAAAGAAAAGTCCTAAAGAATTCTAAAAATATGCTATTATTTTTGTATATCATTTTTATCATGTAAAGAAAAAAGTTCAAACAAATTTAAATAATTATCAAAATCATTCAAAATAAACTACAAAATAAGAAAAAGAGGCCCAAGGGGGTTGCAAACTGGAATTCACGTGGTATGATGCAGTCTGGGCGCTAGGCCCAGTCAGATAGAGTCCAATGCCCCCTTTTTTGTTCACAAGCATCCAAGTTGCCAAAAATATTTGTTGATGGCTCTGGGAATAGTTGGTCTTGTAGCAGTAAATGGACTTTGGCGCTGAGGCCCAGTTAGAGGACCCGTGGTGTTTTTATTGCACAAGCAAAAGTTCCAAAAAACAATGACAGGCCATAGATGAGAGTGGTACGATCCACCAAGCAATTGGTCCATCATCACATTCAAAAAAATTTGTTTAAAAAGACTATTATTCAATGTTTATTAACTGAATTGAACAACATAAAAACAATTAAAGAAAAATATATAACAGAAATGTAAAAGGGATTAGGTTTATACTGCTCGTGGCTATTGAACTTCTCTGCTTCTCTCCGACGCCATCTCACTTCAATCGCCGTCTTTGATCCGCTTCAACCTTCTTTCATCGTCTCAGCACGATGCCGCTTCCTCTTTGTAAATCTGCTTCTCTCCGATCAACATCTTCACGGATTGCAGCGCCACGACTTCCAAGGTGTTTTCCACCTCCGTCTTCCTTCAAGTTCTGTCTCGCTTCCGTCGCGGTTCTGTTCATCTCAATCCCTCTCCATCGTGATTCTTCTCACCTCCGCTCAAACTCCTTTACGGTTGGAAACACTCTGGCGGCTTTACAACAGTGAAAATGACGAAAAGTCAAGGAACTCAGGTGAGCGCCTTTCTCTTCATCTTGATCTTCGATTCTTGATCTTTCCTATTCTGCTTTTATGCGAATTGATGTTTTATGCGTTTGCGTATTTGCATATCGGTGTTGTTCTGTGCGATCTGTGTGATTCAATTGTGTTGTTGTAATGAAAGTTGAAGCATATTGGAGCAGATGCAAAAATCTTGATGCGATGTCGTTGCAATATGAAGAAGACATCACATATTTTTTGTAGAAATTGTTATGGAAACGATGATCGAATTTGACGCGGTTGAAGGTTGTTGAATGATCTTGATGCGGTTCAAAGAGAGAGAGGTGAGTTCCTTTGTGAAGTTTTTCTCTCTGTAGATAATTGTTCCTCCTCTTTTTTCTGAGTTTTCTTTGTTGAATCGTGGATGGTTGTTGATGGTGAAGGTACGTAAGAGAGAGTGAGCAGAGAAAGGATGAAGAAGGAGGTTCAGAGGTGAGGAATAGAAGGTTGATGATGTATGAAGATGAAGAATGGAGTGAAGTTTTGCAGAGAGAAAATTGAATGGAGTTTCAGAGAGAGTTGAAGGTTGAAAGGTGAGTATCCTGGAGATGAAGAATGAATCTGAAGGTGAGTTTTTCTCTAACTTTTTCTGATTACGCATATGCTGTTTGATCTGTTGAATTAGAGAGTGAGTTTTTTCTGTTATTACTGTATCGTGAACCCTCTCTCTTCTCTTGTGAACTCTCTCTCTCTCTCTCTCTCTCTCTCTCTCTCTCTCTCTCTCTCTCTCTCTCTTTTCTGTTATGATTCTGTTAGATGGTTAGGTAGTTTCTGTTAGGGACTGTTTTTGACAGTTGAGTTCTGTTATGCTTGGTTTGGTAATTGGTTAGGATTGGTTAGGAAGTTTGTTAAGCAGAATTCGGTTAGCAGTTTGTTATGTGCAGAGCTGCTTTAGAAAATGGTTAGGGAATTTATAAAATTATGTTTTGGCTAGTAGTTATAGAGGTTTAGATATCTGTTACAGGTTATGGTGAATGTTAGTTACAGTTAGAAAATTCTGTTTTGGTTTGTTGGGAATTGGAAGAGTTAGGATACGGTTATTCTGTTTGGACTTTTTCATTCTGCTAGCAGTTTGTTGAGAATTGATAATAACTGTTTCTTTTTATTGTGTAAATGTTCAGGATTGCTTTGGATTGAAACAAAAGGCATAGATCATGGCAAGTTACAATACGCCGGTTTGGTCATGAAGAAGGTAATGAAGATGGAAGCAACAAGGTTGCATTTCAAACATGACAAGGCCACACAAAAAGCGATGATGAGAATCAATATATGCACCTTTAAGTGTATTTCTCATTTTTGTAGTATATTTTTGGATATTGTAAATGGTGTTGGGTATTTGTAATGTATGATTGAATGTAACATAAAATATGAATTCTTTTGCTTTATAAAGAAGCTTGTTTCCACTTTCATGATGAATATTCTAAATAAATGGCTTTGAACCCTCTTTTAATACTTGGTGGAAATTTGAATGAAACTTGAATGTTCTTGAATGCAATATTAATTTGGCAATTCCGAATCTTTAATCTCCTATCCAAAAATCAAGTTCTCTTCAAATAGAACTAATAGCTCCCAATGCTTCTCTTCATTTGTAACTTGAATGAAACATATGATATCGAACCCTTTTTTATGGATGACTCACGAGATAAACTCAAAGATGACTAAAGAAAGACTTTTATTTGAAATCCAAAATCTTGATCATGGATGAACATGGTGTGCTTTCTTCTTCTAAGTGACTTGAATTCCAAGGAATCCTCGTGGATGGACTTTCCAAACTCGATATGCTTTGCCTCTTAAAATATTGGTCCAATTTAACAAATTCGAACCACTTGAACTCATGACCCCAAATAATCACTTGAATGAATACTTTCACCATAATGAAAACAAGAAATGAGAGAACCAATAATGCCTTAATCTTAGTGAATTCGTAACATCATCCTAGTATTACGTCTTTACTTGATGATCGACAAAATTAGTGCTTTGAATCCCTAATTATCCGGCATTGGATACTCAATGAGGAGAAAGATAGCTTAAGCCAAAATCCCGGTTCAAAATAACCTCAACTATAACCTTGATGAGACACCAAATACCATAAGTAAAAACCCCAATGTACTTTGCTCTGAATGAATTCTTGATGGAGGATGACCTTGTAGCCTGATGAAGAAAAGATCCACAACATCCATGAACACAAAACCCTAATTCTGCAATTTCACTGCCTTTAAAAATAACCAGAAGAATCAGGCTCTATTTGAGCATATACACCTTAGCCAGTTGATAAAACCCTAATCCTGAAGGTTTTCGACCCCTTGCGAAGTTATGTTGTTAGCGAATGTATGCAATGTTAAATGACCTAATGGAGATATGTACATGAGAAAAGCGCGACAATGCATAAACCAGATAAAAGTAGAAGGGTAGGACAAATTTGGGGTATTACAGCTGCCCCTATTTAATCGTCTTAAACCTGAAAGTACGATTGGCGCGCGCCTTTCGGAAGTTCAAGGTGGAAGATGATTAAATACCAATGCCGAAAATTTGTCCTGAGAGAGAGAGAGAGAGAGTAAGTGTTTTCTTTATTTATTTTTGTGTTATCTGCTGGGGAAAATAAATTTGTTTTTTCAATGAAGAGACAGAGATTGGACTTGTAACGTGGCTTGATGCCAATACAAGACAAATGCTTGGTATGAAAAGACAGCGGACGAAGTCTACGGGCGACCTGCGATCCTAAGGTGACACATGAGAGTGATTTGATAGAGAACCTAGCCAGAGGGCGATCTCAGGTTCTAAGACAAAGTATATGGAAAGAACCTAGCTAAGAGGCGATCTCAGGTTCGACGATGATTTGAGGGAAGAACCTAGCCGAGAGGTGATCTCAGGTTCGAAGAAGGTGATCTAAGGAGGAACCTAGCCAAGAGGCAATCTCAGGTTCGAAGAAGGTGATCTAAGGAGGAACCTAGCCAAGAGGCGATCTCAGGTTCGAAGAAGGTGATCTAAGGAGGAACCTAGCCAAGAGGCGATCTCAGGTTCGAAGAAGGTGATCTAAGGAGGAACCTAGCCAAGAGGAGATCTCAGGTTCGAAGAAGGTGATCAAAGGAGGAACCTAGCCAAGAGGCGATCTCAGGTTCAAAGAAGGTGATCTAAGGAGGAACCTAGCCAAGAGGCGATCTCAGGTTCTAAGAAGGTGATCTATGGGAAGAACCTAGCCTACGGGCGATCTCAGGTTCTAAGATGATCTGAGGAAGAACCTAGCCTACGGGCGATCTCAGGTTCTAAGATGATCTATAGAGGAACCTAGCCAAGAGGCGATCTCAGGTTCAACGAAGGAAACATGGGTTGCGACATGATGATTGTTTAGATAAGCGACATGGACGAGCATCAAGAAGGGTTAAACACAGACGAGTGTTTGAATCAATACGGACGAGTATTGAAAGAAGATACGGACGAGTATCAAAGGTTAAACACGGACGAGTGTTTGAATCAATATGGACGAGTATTGAAAGGAGATACAGACGAGTATCAAAGGTTAAACACGAACGAGTGTTTGAATCAATACAAACGAGTATTGAAAGAAGATACGGACGAGTATCAAAGGTTAAACACGGACGAGTGTTTGATTCAATACGGAAGAGTATTGAAAGAAGATACAGACGAGTATCCAAGGTAAACACGGACGAGTGTTTGATTCAATACGGACGAGTATTGAAAGAAGATACGGACGAGTATCCAAGGTAAACACAGACGAGTGTTTGAATCAATACGGATGAGTATTGAAAGAAGATACAGGTGAGTATCAAAATTTTAAACATGGACGAGTGTTTGAAAGACCAACACAAATGGGTGTTTAGGGATGGACACAGACGAGTGTTTAGGGAACTGACTACCAGACAAGAACTGGGTTTAGAGTGACAAAGTGTATCGATTTTGCTGGGCATTGAGAATGTGAAGGTCACCGACTGGGGATTCTGGGGATGATACCTTCTTGTAGGGACGTATTGTTGTCCTTGAATAATTCAGGTCTTTCATGTAAGGTACCTGATCTGGCTTATGCTTTATATGCATGTTTGAATTTCTTTTTCCGCAAAGATCCACTCTGATGGATCGGCTACGCGCTTTCGAGGATGCAATGTTATGCAATGATAATTATATACAATGCGAAGAAATAAACTTCATGGGGATAAGAGAAGGCCCATTGGGAACCGCTGCTCATTACTGAGGATGCCAATACATATCGACGCTGGAAGTCTGCAGTACCAAAGATCGCTGGGGATACCGATAAAAATTTGCACTGGGGATCCCATGACACTGAAGATTGTTGATGACTTTGCTGGAGATTGAGTTGCTGACGAAGCGAGTCTTCAGGTACGCTGCTGGATTCTGAATCGTACCATTGGGGGAAAGATAATCTGGCCAGACTCCACATCCTGAACCGTTGAGAGGATGATATAACTGAATATGCCGAAGAATGGATACTGAACACCACGTGGATCCCTTTGAATACATGCTCCAAGTTTACGCACACTGGGGAATTGTTTCTTGAATCGCTTGGGGATAAGAGATGGGCATGGACGCTTACGAGTGCCCCAGTTGAACTTCGCGAATGCCACGGTCTGGCTTTGCGAATGCCCCGGTTTAGCTTTACGAATGCCCCAGTTGAGCTCTGCGAATTCCCCAGTTTAGCTCTGTGAATGCCCCTGTTTAGCTCCATTGGGGATGTTCTTGATTAGCTCCATTGAGGGTGCACTTGCGCGAGCCGATTCAAACAATGATTCCGAACTTTCTGAATTCACTTGGGGAATCAGACCCGGAGTTGTCTGTAGCAAATGAAGGCAGTTTCGCGTGATGGCTGGGTCAGGGTGACCGTTATGATGCTTTTAGCTTGATCGTAGTCTTGTACAATGTAATTGGCTTTAGCAACTTTGTAAGTATGGATGAGGAATGCCCCTGTCTGGAGGATCTCTGGGAAGATCTAGGTTGAATAGAAGACCATAAGATTCGTGCCACAATACGATATGAGGTGGCCTGCCCCAATGTCTTAAGTCACGAAATAAACTGCTTTGATTACAACTTTCTTGGAGAGATTTGTCGAATCTCGACGTAACTGCCCCAGGTTGAATGAATTCTGAATAGATCTCTCGGTGTGATAGCCTCTGATTGATCGAGCTTGAAGAGATTTATCGATGTGATAGCCTCTGATTGACAACTTTGAGGGAACGCCCCATATTTGGCTGAGCTTGGAGAGATCGATTCTCGACTTGATTGCCCCAGATTGACGGGCTCTGCTAACTTCATCCCTGAAGGATACTCAGATCGTGAAGCACCAAGATATTTTCTATAGACATAATCTCTGGTTTAACATGCCTCTGGATTAGTCACTTCTCTTGTGGTAGCTGATTCTTGCTTCAACAGGGTATTCAAGCATCTCTTCTCTAACAAGATTGAGCTCTTCACCGATTGTTCATTGTGCAAACTTACTTGATGTCAATCAGTTGTTTTGTATGCAGAAGAATGTTTATTATGAGAATGATAATTCTAATGCAACACATATGTAAGTCTTGAAGTTTAAAAAACTTTGAATGAAATGACGTCACAACTCTGTTGTGAACGAGTCACTAGCTAGAGAGAAACATTTGCAAATTCCTTTTTTAGTAAAGATAATGCAAGCATATGATACCAACACAGATATTCAAACATACCTCTTAGGAGTCAGTTAAACACTATCTCGTTGTAGCACGCTTTCGAATTGACCCATGCTTCAGTTAGGACTTTTATGGGTTGTAACGTGGCCTGGTTCACGGTTTTAGGCTCAAAATTATTTGGTGCCCACCCATTCTCCATGATGTTCTCCATTCCTATGTTCAGTTAACCTGATATAAGCATTCATCTCTCGAGAAGAGTTTGCAATGTTTGAGGAATCACTGTGGTTTCTTGGACACGACAGTCACTAACTTCTGATTTTGGTGTCTGATCAGACGACTTTGTTCTTTGATGAGAATTTTCATTGGTAATCCTTTTCTCGCCTTTTAGGCTTTTCGATTTATTTCTTGCTTTCCCTAATTTTTGCCTGGACAAATTCTTTTGAATTTCGATTTGGAAGTCCAACGGGATGCCCCGATTTTTGCCTAAGCGACTTGTTTTCAAGTTTTGACTTAGCGGGGATTTCTGTTTCTTTCTTATTCGTATTTTCTATTTTGAACAAGTCGTTGATCTTTGCATTGTCTTTGATTTGTTGGAAGTGATCGTGACTGCCTGAGTCTTTAGAAAATGATGGATAGCCATTGTTGTATCGTCATCTGTCGACCTCCTGATGTGCGAGAGATATCCATTGGGGTATAGTCAAATAGATGCACGTTGTTGTTAGATGAGAGTTAACCATTGTGGTTTTGACTTTTCTCAACCTTTTGATGGATAACCATTGTGGTTTTGACTTTTCTCAACCTTTTGATGGATAACCATTGTTGTATCCTTGGATGCACACTCTTGATGAGTTCTGAATGCTTGATCAGATTAGCTGAACACTACCCGCCCCAGGGTTGAAATGAGGGTTTTTTCTGAATAGAAAGAAAACTCCTACTTCGAAGGCTCAGAGGGGTTAACGAGGATCTATCTTCCTTATATCTCCGGTGTTTAGGGATTTGAAACAAGGCATGTACATCGTCAACAGGGTTTTACTCAAAAGCGTACCAATCATAGATTTTGCGTTTTAGATTGTCGTCATCCTCCTTTGAATCTTTACCTAAGCATAAGACTAGGAAATTTGGCATCAATATGCAAGCAAAACATTTAAAGAGTGATAACGAATGGATGAGTACAAATGAAAGGAACACTTCAAGACAAGCATACTTATTGCATTAAGATTTTCGTTCAAAAATAGACAAGTTTCTATATACAAGCGATGTTTAAACAAACAAGAAAGAATGCAAATGAAAATGCACTAAAGAAACCAATGATTGCCATTGTTGAGGAGACTTGACTCCGTATGGACTTGCTGATTCTGACGACTTTCTGTAGTCTTGATGCTCGAGTGTGCGAGAGAATTCCCCTTCAGATCTGATGTGAACAAAGTAGTCTCTGGATTGAGCCTGTCTTGGACATTGTCTTTGGATGACATACCATCTTCAATCGATTGCCCAGGTGCCCCAGTATAATATGCATCACCAAGCATATCATGTCTTGAAGAAATAATAGACATCATCATCAGAGTTTCCATGACCTGGCTTATCTGACTCTTTAATCCATTATCTTCCTGCTTGAAGAAGTTTCTGACTACGAGCCAAAGCTTACATGTACCACTCAGAGTTATTCTATAACTCATCTCTGAGCATGTGCGGTGAGAAATCAAGTTGAACCTTTGAATAGAACCCCAAGTCTGGATAAGAATCCCCAATCTTCGGGTACCTATAATGAATGCATGAATATGCATGGGGTGCACGAAGCATCAATGAATGCCATGTCATGTTCTGTCATTTCCAAGGAAATAACAGAACATGTATGTTAAGCATGTGGTGAGCCATGTTATATATGCAAAGGCACGGGATCAAAGAGGATCAAGGTTCCATCATTCCTGAATATGATTGCTGCACTATTCCGAACCATATGAGTATCATCAGATCAAAGGTCCGACATAGCTTCTGCACATATAAGAAACAAGTACCATGTGGATCTCCCATTGTACGGGGTCAAGGCTTCTGGAACATCGGATACTGTTGAGAATTTTCTGAATATGCTGGGAATACCAAGATCGAAGGCTTGAATAAACCTCCGGGTAAACAAGTCAGAAACTCAAAATAAATTTGAGAACCATACGGTCACCAACAGAATATAGCATCTGCATAAAGTCATAACAGAAATCCAGAATATAGCCATTAGAACCAATATCCACTGTCTGAGCATAGTCACCATTTGTACATGAGTAACCATCTGAACATAATCACCATCTGTACCTGTGATAAAAAATTCCCTCCCCGCTCACGGGTGAAAACTAGGCCAGGGTAAGACAATGGTAACTCAGAATTGAGGGTACTCCTGAAAAACTATCGCCGTATCACCTACGTGAAAACGATAGCCCCTCATTTGTACCTCATCTGAGCATGGAGGACATGGCGGCGATAGTGAGACCTAAGTCAACTAGCCATTCATGTTCCACTCTATTCCTAGGGTTCCTATGGTATACAACTCTGGCCTGGGTATTGGGCCTTTTACCTCAGAGTAACACCCACCCAATAAGAAGCAGATCCAGTACAACAGTAGTATATGGAAGACAGTAAAATGCAATGCATATGTATGCTCAAGTATATACAAAATGAATGAATAAACTGAAAGCATACAGATAAACACCCAAATGAAAGAAAGCAAGAGCTAGGAGCGACTCCAGGATGGACCAGCATTTGGTCGACCTATCCCCAGTGAAGTCGCCAGCTGAAACAACCCGCTGAAAATCATCAAAACAATGAAGTCGCCATTAAACGTCTTTTATCCCACATGTAGGGAAAGATAAACATCGAGAAAACCTGAAAAGGGAGAAGTCACGGTCTTGCGACCGAGAGATCGGGTAAGGGAGTCTGTTACGCGAGGGGAAGGTATTAGCACCCCACGCGCCCGTAGTACTCTATGGTATCCACTCTTGTTATCTATCTTATGGGTGTGTTTAATCTATGCTTACTGTCTACTATACTACAGGAGGGAAAATGCATGCAAAAGAAAGGAGAAAATAATGTAGGGGAAATAAAATTATGCTCGCCTGGGCCCTACCCCAATGCCTACGTATCCTTTTTGAGGAATCAGAGCTACCGTAGTTCGGCTCATATGTTTTTGTTTGTTTATGTTTTTTATGGACAATGTTAATTTCGCCTTCTTCCGCAGCTCGACCTTTGGAGACTTATGCGTTGGCACAGAAGTAAATTAATCATGTCCTTACCTGAAAAGGGTTTTAGAGTAAAGGTGCTCGAGCGCACAAAATGGTTTGAATTTGTTTTGTATTTTTATTACCTTGAAAAAGGGTTTAACTATGATTAGCATGGTTTTATGATTTGCTAAGAAAATGAGTTCTGTTTTAGATGCACATGCAAAAGGGAAGAAAAGAGTCTAAGGGAGACTAGCCTATTTTTAAACCTAATGTTAGCATGTATGGTTTACAACCTAAGGTCTAACTTGCGTCCGAACGGAGCAAGCGCATCCTAAGGGAACATGGTATGTACAAGGATGAAGCAAGCAAGCCAGCAAACAGAGCACACCTAAAGAGATCCTGCCTAGGTTAACATGTCGAAGAAAAGTCTAAAAGAAATATCCTATAAGGAGCATGCGTTGAGAGAGAAGTCGTGATCTCAATTGCTAAATTGAGTGACTCATCGATCAACAAGAAATAATGGAAAGCGATAAAATCCTATAGGGAGCATGCACTGAGAGCGAAGTTGTGATCTCAATTGCTAAATTGAGTGACTCATCGATCAACAAGAACGTAAACAAACACAAGCGCAACACATATAGCAAATGAAGTGCGGAATTCCTGCTACAGGTCTTTAAACAGCGACTTCGAGCGCACGCTCTTTATTCCCTACTTCACATGATATCTAGAAAGTGGTAAAGTGCAGGAATAAAATAGAGTTGTGACGATACCGAATGGAGAGGGTCCGTTGCCTCTTCAAAGCCGCACAAGCAATAAGAAAACTCTACAGAAGCTTCTCCGTACGAGTGATCAAAGAATTAGTCTCCAAGCATTCCATATTGCGAAAGTTACTTCAATATAGTATCACAAAATCTTAGCTAAAAAATGATAATGAAAATAATTTTTAAACATAAAATAATAGAAAGTTCTAATAAAATTCTAAAGAAAAGTCCTAAAGAATTCTAAAAATATGCTATTATTTTTGTATATCATTTTTATCATGTAAAGAAAAAATTCAAACAAATTTAAATAATTATCAAAATCATTCAAAATAAACTACAAAATAAGAAAAAGAGGCCCAAGGGGGTTGCAAACTGGAATTCACATGGTATGATGAAGTCTGGGCGCTAGGCCCAGTTGGATAGAGTCCAATGCCCCCTTTTTTGTTCACAAGCATCCAAGTTGCCAAAAATATTTATTGATGGCTCTGGGAACAGTTGGTCTTGTAGCAGTAAATGGACTTTGGCACTGAGGCCCAGTTAGAGGACCCATGGTGTTTTTATTTCACAAGCAAAAGTTCCAAAAAACAATGACGGGCCATAGATGAGAGTGGTACGATCCACCAAGCAATTGGTCCATCATCACATTCAAAAAAAATTGTTTAAAAAGACTATTATTCAATGTTTATTAACTGAATTGAACAAAATAAAAACAATTAAAGAAAAATATATAACAGAAATGGAAAAGGGATTAGGTTTATACTGCTCGTGGCTATTGAACTTCTCTGCTTCTCTCTGACGCCGTCTCACTTTAATCGCCGTCTTTGATCCGCTTCAACCTTCTTTCATCGTCTCAGCACGACACCGCTTCCTCTTCGTGAATCTGCTTCTCTCCGATCAACATCTTCACGGATTGCAGCGCCACGACTTCCAAGGTGTTTTCCACCTCCGTCTTCCTTCAAGCTCTGTCTCTCTTCCGTCGCGGTTCTGTTCATCTCAATCCCTCTCCATCGTGATTCTTCTCACCTCCGCTCAAACTCCTTTGCGGTTGGAAACACTCTGGCGGCTTTACAACAGTGAAAATGACGAAAAGTCAAGGAACTCAGGTGAGCGCCTTGCTCTTCATCTTGCTCTTCGATTCCTGATCTTTCCTCTTCTGCTTTTATGTGAATTGATGTTTTGTGCGTTTGCGTATTTGCATATCGATGTTGTTCTGTGCGATCTGTGTGATTCAATTGTGTTGTTGTAATGAAAGTTGAAGCATATTGGAGCAGATGCGAAAATCTTGATGTGATGTCGTTGCAATATGAAGAAGACGTCACAAATTTGTTGTAGAAATTGTTATGGAAGCGGTGATCGAATTTGATGCGGTTGAAGGTTGTTGAATGATCTTGATGCGGTTCAAAGAGAGAGAGGTGAGTTCCTTTGTGAAGTTTTTCTCTCTGTAGATAATTGTTCCTCCTCTTTTTTTTGAGTTTTCTATGTTGAATCATGGATGGTTGTTGATGGTGAAGGTACGTAAGAGAGAGTGAGCAGATAAAGGATGAAGAAGGAGGTTCAGAGGTGAGGAATAGAAGGTTGATGATGTATGAAGATGAAGAATGGAGTGAAGTTTTGCAGAGAGAAAATTGAATGGAGTTTCAGAGAGAGTTGAAGGTTGAAAGGTGAGTATCCTGGAGATGAAGAATGAATCTGAAGGTGAGTTTTTCTTTAACTTTTTCTAATTACGCATATGCTGTTTGATCTGTTGAATTAGAGAGTGAGTTTTTTCTGTTATTACTGTATCGTGAACCCTCTGTCTTCTCTTGTGAACTCTCTCTCTCTCTCTCTCTCTCTCTCCCTTTTCTGTTATGATTCTGTTAGATGGTTAGGTAGTTTCTGTTAGGGACTGTTTTTGACAGTTGAGTTCTGTTATGCTTGGTTTGGTAATTGGTTAGGATTGGTTAGGAAGTTGTTAAGCAGAATTCGGTTAGCAGTTTGTTATGTGCAGGGCTGCTTTAGAAAATGGTTAGGGAATTTATAAAATTATGTTTTGGCTAGTAGTTATAGAGGTTTAGAGATCTGTTACAGGTTATGGTGAATGTTAGTTACAGTTAGAAAATCATGTTTTGGTTTGTTGGGAATTGGAAGAGTTAGGATACGGTTATTCTGTTTGGACTTTTTCATTCTGCTAGCAGTTTGTTGAGAATTGATAATAACTGTTTCTTTTTGTTGTGTAAATGTTCAGGATTGCTTTGGATTGAAACAAAAGGCATAGATCATGGCAAGTTACAATACGCCGGTTTGGTCATGAAGAAGGTAATGAAGATGGAAGCAACAAGGTTGCATTTCAAACATGACAAGGCCACACAAAAAGCGATGATGAGAATCAATATATGCACCTTTAAGTGTATTTCTCATTTTTGTAGTATATTTTTGGATATTGTAAATGGTGTTGGGTATTTGTAATGTATGATTGAATGTAACATAAAATATGAATTCTTTTGCTTTGTAAAGAAGCTTGTTTCCACTTTCATGATGAATATTCTAAATAAATGGCTTTGAACCCTCTTTTAATACTTGGTGGAAATTTGAATGAAACTTGAATGTTCTTGAATGCAATATTAATTTGGCAATTCCGAATCTTTAATCTGCTATCCAAAAATCAAGTTCTCTTCAAATAGAACTAATAGCTCCCAATGCTTCTCTTCATTTGTAACTTGAATGAAACATATGATATCGAACCCTTTTTTATGGATGACTCACGAGATAAACTCAAAGATGACTAAAGAAAGAATTTTATTTGAAATCCAAAATCTTGATCATGGATGAACATGGTGTGCTTTCTTCTTCGAAGTGACTTGAATTCCAAGGAATCCTCGTGGATGTACTTTCCAAACTCGATACGCTTTTCCTCTTAAAATATTGGTCCAATTTAACAAATTCGAACCACTTGAACTCATGACCCCAAATAATCACTTGAGCGAATACTTTCACCATAATGAAAACAAGAAATAAGAGAACCAATAATGCCTTAATCTTAGTGAATTCATAACATCATCCTAGTATTACGTCTTTACTTGATGATCGACAAAATTAGTGCTTTGAATCCCTAATTCTCCGGCATTGGATACTCAATGAGGAGAAAGATAGCTTAAGCCAAAATCCTGGTTCAAAATAACCTCAACTACAACCTTGATGAGACACCAAATACCATAAGTAAAAACCCCAATGTACTTTGCTCTGAATGAATTCTTGATGGAGGATGACCTTGTAGCCTGATGAAGAAAAGATCCACAACATCCATGAACACAAAACCCTAATTCTGCAATTTCACTGCCTTGAAAAATAACCAGAAGAATCAGGCTCTATTTGAGCATATACACCTTAGCCAGTCGATAAAATCCTAATCCTAAAGGTTCTCGACCCCTTGCGAAGTTATGTTGTTAGCGAATGTATGCAATGTTAAATTACCTAATGGAGATATGTACATGATAAAAGCGCGACAATGCATAAACCAGATAAAAGTAGAAGGGTAGGACAAATTTGGGGTATTACACCGCCCTTTCGGGTTTTGAGTCCACCAGGATACCCTTTTTTCCCCAAGCCTCCCTTTCAGGTTTTTGACTTTCCGGATGTACAATCTTTTGTATATATCCCTAATTTTTGCCCAAACCCTTTTAGTTTGCCGGGATGCCCTTATTTTTTCCTAGGCATGTCCACCTAGCAAATCGTTCTTTATGCGTAATATTTTTTGACTATGTCCGCGTTCATAGTACGGGAAATCTTCGCCGTGCATAGTGGTTAGCATCATAGCACCTCTAGAAAATACTTTCTTGACAACAAATGACGCTTCGTAAATGGGAGTCCATTTTCCACTGGGATCGCCTTGTGGCAAAATGATGCAGTTTATTACCAAGTCGCCAGCCTGGTATACTCGAGGTTTGATCTTTTTGTTGAATGCCTTGATCATACACTTTTGATACATTTGACCATGACAAACAGTAGCCAATCTCTTTTCATCAATCAAGTTCAACTGATCCAACCTAGTCTGCATCCATTCGTTTTCGCCCAAGCCAACTTCTTTCATAATCCTTAAGGAAGGAATCTGAACTTCAACAAGCAGGACATCTTACATGCCTTAAACTAAATAGAATGGGATTTCCCCAACTGATGTTCGTGCTGAGGTATGATAGCCATGAAGATAAAACAGTAGCATCTTATGCCAGTCTTTATAGGTCATAACCATCTTTTGCACAATCTTCTTTATGTTCTTGTTGGCAGCTTCCACTGCACCATTCATCTTAGGCCTGTATGGAGAAGAGTTATGATGCTTGATTTTGAACTGCGTGTAGAGTTCAGTAATCATGGCATTGTTGAGGTTGGTTCTGTTGTCAATGATAATCCTTTCAGGGATGGCGTACCGGCAGATGAGGTTATGCTTGATAAAACAGGCTACAACGTTCTTGGTAACTGAGGCAAATGAAGCAGCTTCAACCTTTTTGGTGAAGTAGTCAATGGCGACGAGGATGAAACGATCTCCATTAGAGGAACTGTGCTTGTTTTCTCTAATCATGTCAATGCCTTACATTGCAAATGAACACATATCAGTCATGGTGTTTAAAGGTATCACAGACACATGGACCTTGTTGGCATAAATCTGACACTTATTGCAAGTCCTTGAGTGGTGGTGACAATCAGTTTCCATTTTCCACCAATAGTAACCAGCCCTCATATTCTTTTTGGCCATAGTGTGTCCACTAGAGTGAGTCCCTAAGATACCCTCATACATGTCCTCCATGGTCTTCTCTGCTTCCTTCTTGTCTACACAATGGAGCAGAGTAGAATTATGGTTGCGCTTGTACAAGATCCCATTGCTTAGGAAAAACTTGGCTGAGAATCTCTGTAGGAATTTCTTGTTGTAGATTGAAGCTCCTTCACGATATTCTTGTGCTTCAAGATACCTTCTGCGATACAGTGGGAGAACTGAATTGAGTTTTTTTGCATTTTATCGTAAATGTTACGGTTAGCAAGAGTCGCCACCGACTTTTCTTTTATCCAAAATGAAAGGTGAAAAAGCACAAGAAAGACCTTTGAGATTGTTTCTTGAGTTCGGGGGGTAGATTATGAAAAGGGAAGGTATTAGCACCCTTTTCATCCATGGTTTTCCATGGGCTCTTAGTTACTTATTAGATCACTTGCTTTTGTGTGAAATTGTGCTTTGTGAGGCTTTTGAAAATATTTTGAAAAGGCGCCATCGTTTAGGCAAACTTTGTAATGATTCTCGTTCGTAAGAATGTATACAAAGTGTTGATATTTTAAAATGTTTTCAAGTTTGAAAGATGTTTTTTGAAAGTGTTGATGTTTGTTTTGAAAATAGCAAGGATGTTTTGTTTTGAAAGTGAGAAAGTAACTAGGAACCATCTACCTACTCAAAAGTCTTTCATGGTTCATTTCCTCTTTCCTTTGATATTGTCATCTTACCATTGATTTGATAAGTAACCCTATCTTTGGATGTAAAAGGGAAGGGAAAGGGTCATCGTATAGCCATGATTAGTAATGTTGCAAGGTATCTTAGCATTCTCTTTAGGGACTAAGATCATTTTGAAAGGTAAATTTGATAGCGTCATCGAGGGACTATGATCTTGTATTTTGCTTGTTTTTGCTAAGATACCTCACATGCGTAATATGGCCATTTTTGTAAGGCAACCAAGTGGATTTACCCTAAGGGATGCTTGTGTGCAAGTGTATTGTTTTTCAGGCTTGGTTTTGTCTTTGATTAGGGTTTTCTAATTGATTGGTTTTAGTATTTCCATACAAAACCCTAATTACTAGCATTTTGTATATAAAGCGATAAATTGCAGAATTTAAAATTACTATGCTATTACAATACTTGTGGGAGGGGGGGTGTACATATTACAAATGGGGATTGCAAGAAAATAAACCTAATTATCTATTACAACCATTTTGAATTTGAATAAATAATATACAAAAATGAATTAATATACAAGAATGTAAATGTAAAGAAAATGGACATTTTGTTTGGATTTTTTTAAGAAAGGGTTTGGTTTTAAACTAATTAACTAAAAGCGAATAATTAATTAAATTAGAAAAAATAAATTTAAATTAATTAGGAAAAGAAAATTACATAAAACCCTAATCTAAATATTAATTGATTAAGAGAGAAAAAGAAATTAAGTTTGTAAGAAAAATATTTTTAATGTCTTTTTTGTCTTGAAAATAATGTATGGTATTGTAAAATATTTTTGGTCTTTTTGGTTTTAAAAGAATGTTTTTTAATTGTAAAAGAAATAATTAAAACACTAGTTTCTAATTGAATTTACAAATTAATTACT